AACTGACAAAACCCTCTAATAGACTGTGTGTGTAAAAGAACATGCTTTGGTTGTCTGTAAAGGCAGAATTTATGCATACCTTGTTCTTTTCATCTTTTTCCAATTAAAGGTACCCTGTGAAGGTTTTTTGCTTTCTTGTAATATACTTTACTGCCAATAGACTCACAATATTCCACTGATCAACATTTGGTGGCGATTACATAGAAAAATAGCAATGCCCCACCAAAAACAGGGGAAAAGAGCAAGACTAATAACTGGTGTACATATGGATGTAAACTATGCAGGTTTCAAAATATTCAAAATGTTGGCTTTGGAAATGTTTTGTGTTAAAGGAAATGCATTCAATATGTTTACTGGGCTTCAAAGCTACACCTTTAGTAAGAAACACTGTATGTAAACAAAACATAACAATTTGTTTACAAATAAACTCCATAGGGTAACTTTAAAAACCTGCATTCCCCTTTTTTTTCTAACTGCCTCTTGGTTTAAATGAGGATGTTGAGTTTCTGGTTAGCCTCTTCTCTCCAGATATCTCTGCTGAGCTTTATCTCAGTCTTCAGGAGTTTGCTGAGTTAAAGTCCATTTATAATCTATGAGCTGCTACTGTTAAATGAAATTAATATTCAATGTCAGAGCCCGGTGAACATTAATGATGAATAACTTACAAAATTAGACATCTAACAAAAAAAGGCTTTCTAACTGCACAACGATTATCAATGCAAAGAAATATGAAACATTATTTAATACATAAAAAATCAACAATTGTCCAAAGAAAAATAAAACGTAAAACTGTTTTATTATCATGAACACATTCATTTCCCAGTGCCTTTAGTCGCACAGCTAAACCACAGGACTTCATTTCAGCTTCCACTAGTGTGTTAAATTAAAGTCTTTTCTCATGAGTTGTCCCTCCAGCAGCCATTATGCTGCCATCCAGATGGTGAATGAGATGAGCAGGGTCAGTAAAAGTGTCAGTGGTGTCACACAGCCCAGATACAGCAGGATCCCTACACCACACAGCGCAGTCAAATAGGAACTCATCCTGCTGAAAACAATCTTCCGTACTGTTGTGCAGAACTGCAAGAAAGAGTGTGAGAATGAGACACTGATTCGAGGCTGAGTGAATCACAAATTAACAGGGCAGTAAATAATAATAATAAGTTTAAATACGATTTATTTGTAAAGCGCTTTCAGGTCAAAGTGGCTGTACAGAGCATAAAAATTACAGGTTTAAAAACATTTCAAATAACTAAAACAAAAATAAACACACACCCGACCTCAGGAAAACATACAGAGAAATTAGCCCATACACCAAACATTAAACGATGGGGTCTTTAGCTTGGCTTTAAAAAGCTCAAGCAGAACAACGCCTGCCTGATGTCCAGAGGTAACTGTTCCACAATGTCGGGTGCACGGAAAGAAAGCGTTACCGGTTGTCTTCTTTTAACCTTTGGAACACTCAGAAAGACCCGTCCCCTGATTAACGCAGGGCTCGAGCAGGCACAAAGGGGTTTTCTCTAGATCTTTAAGAACAATGTGCGCTGCCATTTATATTTAGTGTTAGCAGCAACCCTTAAAGTCTGCTCTGGCATGAAACAGGGAGCCAATGGGAGAGGAGGATAGCACTGGTGTAATATGTTCATATCTGGAGGCCCAGTCAGAACACAACCAGCATTCTGAACCATCTGCCAGACCTTTCTTTGGTAGCCTAACAGAAGACATTACAATAATCTAGCTAGATGACACAAAGGCATGAATGGGTGTACCTCAGAGTCCTTAAACGGACAGAATTGATCTGATCTTGGAATGTTTCCGTAAGATGGGAAAGAAAAGCAACTCTGGTTCACCTCCTTAGTATGTAGATCAAACGAAGTGTCTGATCCGAAAAAGCACACCAGATTCTTAACTTGATCTCTGCGATTGATTACACAATCAGTTGAGAGACAAATAATTATCAAAAAGATGACCAAGTTTTGCTGTCCGATAAACCATCATTCTGGTCTTAGCAGAATTTAAGCAACTAGAAATTTGTTGATAGCCATGCTATTAATATTTAAAATCAACAACAATTCAAAAATCCTTTCATAGTTGCAGGAAGAAGGCTGGATAAAAAGTCTGCAAATTCAGAAATAAATTTATCATGATATTTGGGTGGACGGTAGATAACAGCAACTAAAACAACAGAGGGATTATTCAAGGTGAAAAGCTGCAGTTCAAAACTAGTGAAGACAGGAAAGTTCAGAAACTGTTTGCATTTAAAACGATCCTTAAAAAGTGAGGCCACCCTATTATCTACAGGAAGGTGTTCATTACC